CAGCCTTCAATGAGGCCAAGTCGTACAGCAGCCTCCTTATCTGTACTTTCAAATTCTGTCTTTGAGTTCCCTGTGGCCAACCATGGTCTGAAAATTCCAGGAAAAAGCTGCTCATAAGTTTTAAATTGCACACTGTTCTGAGTAGCTGATAAAATCTCCCACCATCCCCCTCAATCTGCCCTACCTGGAATGTGACCAACTCCTTTGTCCAGTGTATCCACCCTGTATATGCCACCCACCCGGATGGATCACCTGAGGAGACAGTCCTCCTTCTGCAGTGCCCTCAGGTCCACAGCAGCCTGACTCTGTGTCCCGGTGCCTACATCAGTCTCCCTACTTCCTCTCGTCACAGCCCTTGCATCATCACGAGAAGGGAAATGCAGTTAGATGTTTTCCGAGAGAGAACAGTGGCATAAACATCTTACTACAGTGTATTGTTATAATTGTTCTGTTTTATTAGTCATTTTTGTTAATCTCTTTGTGCTTTATGTATAAATTAAACTTTATCACAGGTGTGTATGTATGTGTGGTCTGTATAGTGGGGTGGTGGTACCTGCACTGTCGCTGGGGATCTTGGAAAGCATGCCCGAGGTAACTGCTGGCCGGTTTTGATACAGTCAGACTCTTCTTTCTGTGTTAGGGTTCTCTGGCCTCCTGGTTGACCCTCGCTTCTTCACTGGAACCCACTAGTGTCGCCCTTTCTCATGTGCAGAACCATGGGTCTGGCAATGCCGACTGGAGTGTCCTCCGACCAGTGCCACATACAGCAGGTCCCCCGCCGCCCTGAGACCTCCCCCACGTGGCCCCTCAACTTCATTCCTCGCACTCTCCTGGCCTTTCACAATCACTGACCTGATTTCTGTATAGTTTTGTGTGGCCTGACACTTAATAGCAACTTCTAAAATGCTGCTTTGTGGCTGTGAACATTGCTTGTAAGGAGGTTGTCTTTGCTTCGTGATTGGAGTCAGTTGATACGAGGATTCGAATCCAGCCCTGACACTTCCCTAAGCCTCAACTTTCCCACCTGTAAATGGGAATAATAGCAGTTGCCACATGGGGGTTATTGGGAGGACTGGAGAAGATCGCACCTGTTGGCACGGTGCCTGCCATAGGTAGTCAGTAATCTTGATGACGCACTTTGGTTATGTTTGTTCTCACCAGCACCATCATGGTCGTCGTGGTGGGTGGACAAGAGTGCTTACCGGGCCAGGACAGGCCACCCGTGGGTTGGGGCCCTTCCTTCTGTGGCTGGAGGGAGGCAGAGGAAGCGTTGCTGCAGGGGCTGATTTTCGCTCAGCTTCTCCTCTGGGGTCTGCCGAGTGTGGGCTTGCAGGATCCCCTGCAGATCCCGTCTTTAGCCTCAAACTGTCCTAGGCAAAGGGATCTCAGGGTTTCATCTCTGCTCTTCTACTTCCAAATAAAAAGTCCAAGGTTTTCTTTTTGTTTATTTTTGCTTTTTGATATGACAATGCCACAAAACACAGAGAGAACTTCTTAGGGAACGCGTCGCCACCCCCCGGCCCCGGCTGGCGCTGTGTGGAGCGCCCGCCCTCCCGTCCCCGCCTGACGTTTAAGTAGCCGGAGAGAGCCCTTTGAGTTACTGCGTCCTGAACGCAGCTCTGCGGCTGGGCAGTCTGAGTGCCGCTGCTCCTCGATGTGAGGGCTCCGCCTGGGCCTCCTGCCCCTCATCACCGCCCCCCTTTCTCGTGCAGTGTCACTTTTTGCTTCTGCTGATTTATTTCCCTGGAATACAGTCCCCGGAGTAGGAGTTTCCGTCAAAAGATGAAGTGTTTATTTAGGGTTTTATTTACAGCATCTTACAGAATTAGCCTTGTTTGTTTGTTGAGGGGGCAGGTCTCGCTGCGTCACACAGCCTGGCCCTGACCTGGGGCGCGAGCAGTCCTCCTGCCTCGGCCCCCTGGTATCTGGGCTCCACACCGGGCTGCTGCCCGGTGGCTCCTCTTCTTCCTCTTCCTGTCCTCTCTTCTCCTTCCCCTTCTTCTCCCTCTTCTTTCCTTTTCCCTTCCCGCCTCCTCTTTCTTCTCCTCCTTTTCCTCCTCCTCTTCCTTTCATCCAACCGAAAGCATTTGAGGATGTCATCAAACACCTGCCCAGGTGTCCAAGACCAGAGGCCCCACAGATCCCTAGGGAGTGAGTCGCCTGCCGTGTTTGAAGACCAGGCTTCCCATTGCCTGTCCTGAGTGCTCACCACCCTCCCCAGACTTCCAGGTCTGCTTCCCCACTTCTGGAGGGCAGCGTGCCCAGGATCACCTTCATGCAGAAACTCACTCTCTGTGTGCTCTGAGAGGAAGGACTTGTTTGCATATGGAAAACCAGGACCGCACTGTTTGCAGACGCTGGAGTGCTGCCAGACAATTGAATGTAAAAAGTTGAGACTTTTAAATCATTTTTACAAACGTGGACACAAAAGAATATTTTCTTAGAATTAAAAAAAAAAAAGCATGAAGTCAAGACTGTAGGGTTGGGTTTCGGATTCAGACATTTCACTTGAGTCAGTTCACAGTGGCAACACCCAGACTGCAGAAAGTGAGGGAAGGTGGGGCCGGGGACGTAGCTCAGTGGTTTCACCGCCTGCTGCGCAAGCTCAAGGACCCAAGTTCGATCCCCGGTACCCTCCCCCCAAAAAACTTCAGAAAGTGAGGGAAGGGGGTGGGAGAGGAGAAGGGCCTTGGTCAGCTTTGCAGGTTCGTCGCTAATCCAGAGAAGCAAATGCATACGTGGAGTTAAAGCAACTGACGAAAACAGGCCCAGTGATTTATATCCCTGGGAGCAGCCCCAACATTAATCCCTTCTTTTCTTGCTGATGGATGAGAGTAGCTTTATAGTCACTGTGTTTCCTGTCAGCCTTCGTTCGATAAGGCCCCCACCCTTTAGGGGAGAGGCCCAGAAGGGATAGCAGTTGTTAAAACCTAATTGATCTGAGCATGAAGTGCCTTTATTTTCTAAAAAGGAAATGAACAGGGGTGCTTTTTCTTTCTGTATGCAGTGATAAAGACAGACAGAGCTTTTTGGCCAAGCGGACCGGCTTGCCCTGGATTCTCGCTCAGGTGTCTGCAGATACAATGGGGAGAGGAGTGAGGTGTGGCTCCCGTTCACCAAGGACAGGAGTGGGCATCCTGCTTCCCCAGCACAAGCTCTCAGGGCCGGAGGGTGTCTGCTGCAGAGGTGGGGGTCTAGCGGCTTCGGGGGCCGCACCTGCTCAGGGCTCACAGGCTGAAGTGGCCGGTAGAGGTTCCAGGTGGAGCCAGAGCCTGGGGTCGAAAGCCCTGGCCGGCTCTGTTTCAGGGCCAAACTGCAGGCCCTCAGGGGCCAGGGAGGTGTGAGAGGGTGAAGTCCGCACCGCCGGGCCTCCGAGCTTGCTGGCGCTGCATGGTGTCAACATCCAGGTCGTGCGCCCGTTTCTCTTCTGCTTGTTGCAGGCTGTCGGAAGTACCTGGGTTATGTTTTTAACCCAGGTTCCTGATTTCCAGCTGTTCCAACAGAGGCAGACAGGGTTTGGCTGGGGTCCTGTCCTCCGTTGGAATTCCAGGCTTAGTGGTGCCAAAGAAAAACTGATTCCATGGCACTCGTCAGAGCACAAAGGCAGACTTTGCTAAGGACCATCTCGATGGGCTGGGGTTCTGCAGTCAGGGAGAGAAGGGCGCAGTTCTAGATGCATAACAGCAGGTGAGAATGGACGGCCAGGGAGCTGGGTGCAGCGGCTGGAAAATGCCTGCGACATCATCCGGTGAGGGACACTGGTTGGGGTCAGCAAGCAGGAGTCCTGCTGAAGACCGGCCGGCTGCTCAGCCAGCCCCTGGGTGTGGTGGGTGGAGGAGGAGAAAGGCGATAATGCCCAGGGGGTGGCGGAGATCAGGGGTGAGAGGTTCTCCTACAGGGCTCAGCAGGGTCCTCGGCTGCTGGGAAGTGCACAGGTGGCCGAGGAAAAGGCCCAAGAGTCCGAGTGAGTTTGTTCAGAGAGAGAGTGGTTGTCAGTGGCCAAGAGCTCAAGAGCAGCCCTGCTCCCTCGCTCTAAAGCAGGGCTTGAAAGTAACTTCTTGGGGCTGGGCCCGGGTGTCGCTCAGCAGCAGTGGGCTTGATTAGCATGAGCAAAACTGTGGGTTCAGTCTGTAGCACCGCCAAAATGAAAAGGTCAGCACTGTGTGGGTGCTTGTCAGGACCCCGGGCCTGGGGCAGGGCACCGATGAGCTCACCCCCTGAAACCCGGGTTGGAGGATCTGAGGTGAATCTTTACCTATTGCTTTTCTAAGGGGTTGGGGCTCCAGAAGTCGAACCTGGCTGGGGATGGAGTTCGGTGCACAGCGTGTGCTCAGCATGCAGGAGGCCCTGGGTTCACATGTGAGGACCACAAGAGGTTGCCCTGAAGGTCAGGCCAGGCCTTCGGCTCGCCCGAGCTGTCCTATGAGCTCCCGCTCTGCTGTATTTCTCTTCCCCACGCTCTTGTTAAATTGTACTGAGCTGAATTACCTAGGCCAAGGGCCCCCACCCTCCCCAAAGACGAAAGGAAGCCGGCGTCATAGGGCAGATTAGGCCGGGGCCTCCACGTCCTAGGCCGTGGGCTGGGCTGCAGTGGTGGGGGCTGTGGGGCCTCCTGGGTGAGGATGGGGTGATCGTGGGAGCCGTGGCCTGCCTACCTCCCTTCCCTTGGATACAGTGGCCGCGCTGGCATCTCTGCGTGTGCAGGATACTGTTTCCCTTGTGATTCGGTCTTGGAGTCACATTCAAACGTGGATTCCAGCAGAGCAGGAGCTGTGGCCTCCTTTCTGAGGGTTCATCGGTGCTCGTCCAATGTTTGCTTTGGCTCTTGCCCTTGGCCCAAAATCGCCCGGAGAATTCAATGACTTTTTTGGGAAGTATTCTGGAAAACACCACCGATGCGATGCTGTGGCTCAGATGCTTTGTTTTTGCTGATTTTTCCACTCATACCCTTTTGCTCTGAAACTCACCTGAATTTTATTTTCCTTTCCCTCTCGGTTCAGAAGCTGGACGGACTCGCCAAGCTCCGGACTGCTCGGGAAGCCCCGTCGGAGTGTGTCTGTCCACCAGGTAGGTGCTGTTTTCTCCCTCACTAGCTCCCAATCTCCGGGGCCTGGTCCTTCTCTCTGCTGGTGTCAGACTGCTCTGGACGCCCATGGCGAGGAGCAGTGTCTGGGGTCCTGAGCAGTGGTACCTCAGGGCCTTCCTGGGACGCTACACCTTCACCAGCAGCCTCGTTAAAGATCCCAGCAAGATGAACTGGCCCGTTTGACTGGTGGTCTTGGTGGAGGAGCTAAGACCGTGTCAGCGAGGACTAGGAATAGAGAGAGGCTTGGATGGCAGGACAGAAGCAGCTGTGGAGAGACAGGTGACAGTGGGATTCGCCACCCACGGGGTGTTAACACCAGGAGCTCGCTTCAATCCTGTGGAGTAAACAATCTGGTGAATACAGGACTTTTTTGTTTGCGTTTTGTTGTTGTTGTTGTTGTTGTTGTTGTTGTTGGTAGAGGCAGAGGAAGCTCTGTGTGAATTATCACTCTTTTTCCCGCTTCCTTTCTGAGTGCTGAATGGGATGCACAGTCAGCCCTCTGAATCCACAGATTCTGCATCTATAGATTAATCAGCTTTGGATGTAGCCAATCATGGGTTGAAAGTATTCAGAAAAAAATTGCGTTTGTACTGAATACATGTACAGACTTTCTTTGTCACTGTTTCCTTAAAAATACAATTTAACAACTATTTACATAGCATTCACCCGTCAGTAGGTGTTACAAGTACTGAGTGGCTCCAAAGTGTGGGGCTCATGTGTATGGGTTCTGGGGCAACTGCTACACCGTTCCATAGTAGGGACTGGAGCATCTGCAGATTCTGGCACCTCGAGGTGGTGGGCAGCCCTGAAGCCACTCTCTGATGGAAACTGAGGGACATCTGCACAGGCACGTGCTTTACATGGGCAAGTATTTTCTTTTTTAACTTGGAGTCACAACCTGAGGGTTTCTGTAGTAAGTGAGGACTGCACTGGAGTCGGCCGCCTGGGCCTTTTCGCGGTCATTTTGAGCCCATGACCTGGTGACAGCCTCGTGTCCTACTTGCCCTTCTCAGGGTAGGGGCAGTGGGCATTCTGACCACTTGGAAGGGCTCCGAGGGTCCCGGGTGACCATGGGTTGGAGGGCTGGTCGGAAGTGGGGACACCACATCCATCAGCCCGAGAGAAGGAGGCCTCATTTTTCTAGATTAGACTTGGTGGTAAATACAAGAAATCCGCCTTCCTTGACAGATTCCTAACCTGAGCAGGCGTGCTGAAACACCTCCCCATTTCCTATATCCTGCAGCACATGGGGTGCTATCAGCCAGAGTCTTTGGTTCAGAAGGTGGCTGAGCTTGTTGAATTCTTTTTCTTCTCCATCCAAGGGCAGTTCTTTGAAGGCAGGAATGAATGGCACTGTGTTGGAAGGGGTGGATGTAGGGCACAATTGAAAGATTTGGCAACCATCCTGTGTACAACTGAAACTGCATAATCCCTCCCCCAGAATTCTGCTTTCTCTCCCTCTTATGGAGCTTTTTTCTTCTTTCCCTTTTTCAGTGGGAATTGTGGTTTCAGACTTGTGGCTTTTGGGATTTCAGTCTTTCGATTATGATTATTGGGGATTTTGATCTTTAGGGAGGGTTAAGCTTTCAGGCTCTTGCTCTGTGGGATTTTAACATTGGGGATTGTGGAATTCCAGGACTGTGTCTTTTGGGATTTTGATCAGCACAGCAGGGCAGGAACCCCATCCTACTGAGAGGCATTTGGGGTGCACTCTTGCCCTGTGGGGAGGCGCTGCTCCTGGTGGTGGAAGTGCTGTCCTCGGCTCGGGGACTTCTGCCCGGGATGTAGCTTCCTGCAGGTGGTGGCCCGAGGTGCACCCAGCGATCTCAGCAGGGTCCTCCACCCACCATGTCCATGGCTGCTGTTCTCCTGTTGTCTGCATTCTGTGTTCTTAAGCTCTCGAGGCTGGAGTCCTTCAGCCACACAAACCCAGTAGACTGCACCAGCAGCCTGAACCTGCTCCCATCTTCCCGGCCCTGATCAAAAATCCCTGCAGACTTTTGGAGACTGAAGGAGCGGACCGCCCTCTGTAGCTCGGGACCCCATCTGATCTGAGATACCCGTTGCACCCCTTCCCACAGTCGAGGGAGACTACACTGTCTTTGTCAGATCCTAGCAGGCAACGGCAGAGACCTGAAGCCAGAGAAGGGGCTGGTTCTCCTGTGAAATTGGCTGTTCAGGGAGCTCTGAGACTGGGTGGCAGAAGGAGGCTTCAAGCAGGAAGATAGCACATCCCCCTTGTCCACGGCTATGGTGGGCCGACTGGCAGGGGTGTGCCCTGAACCAGCTTTGTGACCTCAGGAGAGTGAGGGACTCTTGGGCCTTGCATCCTTAATCTAGAACAGTGATGGTGAACCTTTTAGAGCTTTCAGTGGTAACAAACAGCCCGCTTTGGTGCACGTGCTGTAGGTTTGCCACCCCTGGTCCAGCAGATGGGATAGTGGGTTGAGTCATGGTCCCCCAAAGATGTCTCGGTCCTAGTCCCAGAACCTATGAACATGACGTTCTGTGGAGATGGGGCCTGTGCGGGTGTACAGTGGTCCCCCTTGTCCAGGGCACTTTCCAAGGACCCCAGGGAAGCCCTGAAGCTGTGGGCATTGTCTAGCCTGATATATGTCATTTGTCCTATATACACATCCACAGCAGAGCTTAACTTATAAATTAGGCACAGAAAGATGAGTAAGTGTAACTAATAACATAGAACAACTATCACAGCACATTGTAGTAAGAGTTATGTGAATGTGGGCTCTCAACACATCTTACTGTACTCTCACCCTTGGACTCAAAGGAAGCACTTTGTGGCTTCTTTGTGGCCTGAATTGTCAGCATTGCTGCTCTTGTCCTTTGAGGCCATACAGGTCACTTGAACATAAGCATTGTGATGCTCCGATAGTTGATGTGACAAGGGAGGTAGCTATCGTGGACTAAGCGGCGAGCAGTATATACAGCATGGATTCGCTGACAGAGGGGTGGTGATTCATTTCCCAGGTAGGAAGTAGAGCTAGTTCGTCACATACTCAGAATGGGGTGGAATTTCCCTGTGATGTTTCTAGAGCTTGGTTGACAACAAGTAATTGAAATTGCAGGAAGAGAAATCTCAGAAAAGGGGCACTAGTTGCTGTAATTTAGCTTAGGATTTCAAGATGTGATCACCTGGGACATAGGGTGGGACCTGAATCCAGCGACTCATGCCCTTAGAAGAGACAAGAGGGAGATGTGTGGACAGAGCTGAGATTGGAGTGACCAGCATCGAGCCAAGGAATATGCCACAGAAGGGACGAGGGTGTGGGATGGGGCTTCCCCTCAGATTCCCAGAAGAAGCCTGTGCTGCTGACACCCTGAACTTCTGGGCTGCAGAAGCAGGAGAGAAGACTTTCTGCTGTCATCAGATGCCTCGTGTGGTATGTGTTGCTGCGGCAGCCCTAGGAAATGAAGATGAGTGGGAGCCAGCTGTGGGGCGGTGCTGGGGACCTGGTGTGTCGGAGCTCTGTCTCGCACACCTGTGTGTACAGATGCCAGCTCCTTAGCAGGAAGGAGACACCTGAGATAACTGTGCCCTGGGGAGATCAGCACGCTCTCCTCTCTCCTCCCCTCCCCTCTGTCCGCTCCATTTTTTGTCTGTGTGGAGACCAAGTCTCCACAAGTAGCCTAGCCTGGCCTCAAGCTCATGGACCTTCTGTCTTAGCTCCCAGTGCTGGAATTATTGCCATCTACCACCCTGCCCAGCTCAAGGCCTTCTTTCCTTACGTATCTAAATGTTTAAAAGGTGTTTAAAATGTTTATTTTGAGTGGAAGTAAAACATGATTGATTTTTCAAAGTCAAGTACTACAAAAGCTTCATGGAAAATGACGGAGCCTGTGCCCTGCCTGTGGCCTTCATGGCTTTGCCGCATGTCCTTCGACAGCAGCTCTGCCTGGGGCACTCTGTGCTGATGCCCTGTGTGTGTGCTGTCCAATACTATAGCCACATGTGACTTTTTACAATTTTTATTTTTTGGCAGTTCTGGGGATTGAAGCTAGAGCCTTCTCACTGGGCACATCTTGGCCCTTTTTTGTTTTTGATTTTGAGACAGGTTCTTGCTCAGTCACTAGGCAAATTCAGACTGGGCTTGAATTTGCGATCCTCCTGCCTCCGCCTCACAGATAACTGGGGTTACAGGCATGCCATTGTGGCTGGTGTCATACCTGACACGGGGCCCTTGAGATGTGCCGTGTGCGGCTGAGGCGCTGAAGCTTTAAATTATTTCATTTTAACTGGTTTGCACGTAAATCACGGTGAGTGATTGGTGGCAGTGGCATCCATTTCCGAGGCTTCGTGAGCGCGGAGGCTCCTGGCTGGCATTGCTCACATCCCGGGCAGCCTCTGTCAGCCGGGGCACCCGTAGCCGGAAATGCACTGACTGTGGGTACCTCCTGCACGCGGTAACCGGGCCTGGCCGACCGGATGATCTTGGGACACGTGGACAGATTGCAGTTGGACAGACTAATGTGACTTACTGAGTGGTGAGTGGGAAGTGAGCAACGGAACGGCTGTGTAGGTGTGCAGCGTGTTGCACTGTCTCGAAGCCACAAGTCGGAGACCTTCTGGCTGTGGGTGCCGCTCTGCCAGCTCTATGTGCACGTTTGGCGGGAGCTGTCTTCAATTGCTGCTGTGGGGTTTGCAGCTTCTCTGTGTGCCCCGCTGTGTATGAGGGCAGGTGCCGCTCCACTTTGGCTGGGTGGCGGGGTCTGTGGCCTGCTGGGCACCCTGGTGTGCTGGCCAGCCCCTCCTGGGGGAGATTCCTTCTCGCAATCCACCCTGCCCTGTCCCTCGATGCAGGGAGGGAAGGCCAGGTGCATCCCTCGACCTCAACTTCCTCCTGCTCTTTTCTGAAGCCCACCAGGAGCCAGGCACTGCTGCAGGCCCTGGAGGGGAGTTGGGATAGAAGGATGGGAGCCCTCCGCCTGTGAGGGAGCCAACCAGCGTGGCCCAGAGGCCGCT